AATTTGCCACCCTTAGTACTTTATATATATAATATTAAAACAGAAATACATTTAGGAGAATGTCCAAAATCGATTCAAATATTACTCAAATTACCATTGCCTTATAACTAAATTGATTCAATTGAAAAGAGTAATTTTGGACAGATGTAATGGCAATTTCAGTAATTTTGAGATCAAGTTCGGACATATTTTTAACTGGATCCGATGGAAAAAACGCGGATCCTATGCGATCCGGTTTTCATTAATGACAATTCGTAATTAATTGGTTTTTTTGTCACACCTAATTAATTGGAACATCTCTATAATTAGTGGAAACATATATCAAAGTCCAACTACAATCTAACAGTTAAATGTAATTTCCTTAATTATTCAATACATAACTTAAATCCAACAACTTGTATCAAACGTGAACATAAAAGATGGGAAGATATCCCCTAAAAATTATTTCTTTAAATGAAAGATGTTCACGTTCAAACTTAGAGGGCACGAATGCGAGTTATGTCAAACATTTTCTTTTCTAAATTAGTACAAACATGAGTCAAAAATATTTTCTCAATTCGACAATATATCAAACATTTCCTTTCCTATTATTTAATTCTCAATTTACTTATTAATATATTTAGAGATATGATCAATACATTAATTTCCATAAAGTTTGTGCAAAAATTCGATATCATAATGACCAAATTCGATGATACATACCAAATCCGATTAAATCAATTTTTTTAATCTAATTAGTATCTTTGCACATTAAATATCTTGATATTTCAAGTAATATTGTTTCCTATTATCGTGGAGCAAGCTTCTTAAATAATTAATTTTATCAAAAATATTGTTTCTACTAACCCTAAATCGACACCTCCCTAGCCACTATAAAATATCATATCATTCCACTCAACAAATTCGTCATTTTTTCACATTCTTCGAGTTTATACATTTTAAACATTCAGTATTGCATTTATCGAGTTTATGCATTTTAAACATTCATTATTGCATTTTTTAGAGGAAATAATTATGTTTTACATATAGTAGGAGAAATTATTATTTTTTAATGCATAGTATTCCATTAATTAATGATCAATTCTGACTTTTTTTTTTAAACGTCTGAGGATCTTATTAATAAATGGACCATGTCCATGAAATAACAAAGTCTGGT